GTGGGGGGGGGGGGTATGCATAAATATTGAATCCACATTTTTGTAAGCAAACAGGCAACATTTTGTTAAAGCAATTAAATTGTTAAGTTCTCCAACATAATATCTATCATTACTGAATAGCCTAAGTGCAAATAAATGTAGAAATTGATGTGATGAAAATTGGCTTGTAAAGAATTTCTGTTTCCTCTTTTTTTTTTTTTTTTTCAGTGGAAGAGTCACAGTCTTGTGCTTGTTTTGGACACGGGAATTTCTGGGAGATTCCAGATCACAGTCATTTATTACTTTTCATATTTATAACAATACTCAAAAAATTACACGCTTATGTAAAAGATTTCCAAAGTGTTCACTGACCAACTTAAATGTATTTTGTAAATATAAACAAATTTTGATTTTGATGGCTGCAACACACTCCAAAAAAGTTGGGACAGAGGCAAAATAAAAGTGAAAAGGTTATAGATTATCCATGTTAAACCGTTTTGAAAGAGTTCACAGTAAGTAATAGGTGAGGGTGTCATGTTTGGGTATAAAAGGAGCATCTTAGTCTTTGCAAGCCATAGCTCATCACTTTGTGCCAAATTTCATGAGAAGTGTCAAACAAATACAAAATCACATTTCTAATTGCAAAATTGCAAAGAACTTAGGTCTTTTACCAACTACCATACATAATATTGTGAAAAGATTCAGGGAATCCAGAGAAATCTCAGTCTGTGTAGGGCAAGGCAGGAAACCTCAGTTGAATGTGCATGATCTTTGAGCCGTCAGATGGCAGTGCATAAGAAACTGTCATGCTGCGGTGTTAAATATAGCCAGATGGGCTCAGGAGTACTTCGAGAAAAAAAAAACGCTGTCACTTAACACAGTCTGCCGCTGCATCAATAAATGCAACTTGAATCTGTCACTCTAGGAGAAAACTATACATCAATTCTATGCAGTGATGCCGTGGGGTTCTTTGGGCCAGAGCTCATCTCAGATAGTCAAAAACACAGTGGAAATGTGTGCTGTGGTCAGATGAGTCCACATTTCTACTGGTTTCTGAGAAAAATATACGTCGACTTCTCAGTCCCAAAGACCAAAGGGACCATCCAGATTTTCATCAGATGCAAAAGCAAACGTCTGTCATGGTATGGGGGTGCAGCGGAGCAAACAGCATGGGTGACATATGTGCGAAGGTACCATTGACATGAAGGCATACATTGGAATTGTAGAGAGACATATACTGCCATCAAGATGACGTCTTTCATGAGAAGTCCATGGTTATTAGATCAAGACAATGCCAGGTCTCATTCTGCATGTGCAACAACAGCGTGGTTTTGTAGACACAGAGTGAATGTGCTAGACTAGCCTGCCTGCAGTCCGGATCTGTCTCCTATTGAAAATGTATGGCCCATCATGAAAAGGAGAATCAGACAACGACGATTACAGTCTGCTGAGCATCTGAAGTCTTGTATCAAGCAAGATTGGACAGAAATTTTGCTTGCAAAACTTTAACAGTTTAGTATCCTCAGTTTCCAAACAATTAAACATTCTAATTAAAAGGAAAGTTGATGTGACACAGTGTTAAACACGCCTCTGTCCCAACTTTTTTGGAGTGTGCTGCAGCCATCAAAATGTGTTTATATTTACAAAACAAAATTAAGTTGGCCAATGAAAACATTTGAATTTTTTTTGTACTTTAGTCAATTAAATACAGGTTAAAGAGAATGAACAAATAACATATTCTTGATTTTATGGCATTTCACAAAATGACCCTACTTTTATGGAATTGGGGTTGTAGATCAAATAAATTCACAAATCTACTTTTGTTGAAGATCTGAGATTTATTAATTGTTGTTATATGCATAGAAACTTAAAAGTTTTGTATGCAAAACAGTGCAGCAGGATATAAGAACTCCCACCTTTGCTCATTCAGCTATAAAGCCATAGAAATCTTACTAATTAACCTGTTGCAAACAAACTAAGAGGGTGTCTTTTATATAGTCCTGGCTCTTATATTGACACCTTTAGGATCATAATGCATAATTGCACACTTTTTTTAAAAATGAAAAGAGGAAAAGGAGGTCTTCTAGGGCAGAGATACCCAAACCAGGGCCCGCTGTTTGGCCCGCCATGCCACATCACAAGAGGAAGGAAATAAATGTTAAAAAAAATATATACATTTTTAAACTAACAACCTTAATTTCTAATTGATCTTTTTGTTTTCATTTTTTTTGTTTTATTGTTTGCATTTAAATGTAAATAAAAATATTAGTGAATTTGATTTTTTTTTTTTTTTTTACTTAAATTTAATGATTAAAAAATAAATTTAATACATTTTAATATTGTATAGTTGGATATAATGCAACATTTATTTTTGGCTCACGTTTAGTCCAGTTTAATTATTGGCCCCTCGCATTGAAATGTTTGGGCAACTCTGTTCTAGTGGAAGAAAATAGTAGCAGGTCTGAATTATCCACTAGGTGTCAGTGTTTTTCTTTCACTGCATTTATTGCTGTTGATAATGTGCTAGACAGAGTTCCATTACTTGTATTATAAAGTTTTCAGTGTGATTTTGTGTAACATAAATAAGGTCATTTGATCTTATTTACAAAGCAACTAAGATATGAGCACTGTTTGTGCAGAGCCGTAGGCTAAGCTATATTTCAACTCTGGTAATTTAAAATATAAATCATCTACGATCAAATGTCGTATGCGATTGAATGTCAGCAAGTCTTCCATTGTTCATGTCAGTCTTCCAAAGATCTTCATGTTTTGCAGTTTGCTCTGACATTCATGTAGACTTCGTCAGCTAAAGAAACACATGAGCACATGCATGTTAAATATTTCTGTGCACTGATATGGCTATTGCAGGATTGCTAAAGAAAATTTGTGTTGTGTCAGTGTAATATCTCACCGTTTTCTTTCTTTTGTCTGCGCTTGCTAGCATACCAGTAGGTGGTAGTAACAATGAGGACCGTCACAGCAACATCAGCGAATATAATCCCTGCTATAGTGCCAGAACCGACTCCATAACATAAGCCTTTGTCTATGAGAAAGAACACCCGTACACCCTGTTTAATACATTCGTGAGACGAAATGTAAACAGGTACAAATGATTGTGCAGGAGTCTGTCGAGTAGCCTATCTACGGAATTTATATGACTGATTTGAACTGTATGCAAGTGACTGAACAAATAATGAACATGCCGACCAAAACGCAAATCTTTCTTACCTTCAACAGCACTAACCATAGCTTGACACACGACGACCATGACGAAGAAGAAGGTGGTTATTAGAAAACACATGTAATATAGATATTTTAATAGTGGACATTACAATGTGATGCACTACAAAATGCAGCAAAATAACACTATACTCATTTAATGATGTACACAATTATCATTGTTATGCATAATTTGCCTAAACCACCAACACTAAACAATATATGGAAAATAACACCTCTATTAAACTGTTAATGTGCTTACTCAGAAAAGTGCACCCATCTAACAGGATATTGCTGCAAACTACTGTGCACGGTGGTCTCAAACAACTGAGTGGATGTGGAAGAGAGATGGAAAAAAACTAAACATTGTCTCACCTACCTAGCAGAAAGAGGGGAAAAAATGTATGAAGGATTTTCTTTGTCATTTCCTGTTCAACACTTGTGTGATCTTTCATCTAACAAGACAAAAATGCAGCTGTGTTCAATATATTACATTTCAGATAATAGCACACATAATGCAACTAGTGTTCAAATAAAACATTAATATTTACTTAGTTATTACTAAAATAAATATGATTTATGCAATTTACGATAAAACTGTACTTAAACTGAAATCACAGCAGGGAACTATGCGCAGATACTTCACCGACCGTATTCTACATACAAATACGAAATATAACGGATTATCACAAGCTTTAGCATAAATGATAATAAGCCTTATGGACATACTTGACTGTTAAAACAAGTCTAAAGCATGCAAGTTGAGCAAGACGACCACACGAGGAGGCTTTAAACAAAATTGCATAATGTTTTGATTTTCCAATTAAAACTTTTTTCCAATTAAAAGCTAAATACTTTAAAACAACGAACAGAGTTGCTCTTACCAATGAAGTGCCGTGCAGCGATTTATTACAACTTTGGAAATGAAGTCACTGATCGGTTAACCTTCCGCCCACTCGGTTTGTAAGTTTCCTTTACGAGTC